ACCTTCCAATATGGAGTTGTGTTCAGGTAATGTTGTGTTTATTTTCTGCATGTGCTGAATACTTGCATCTAGTATTGATTATACGTTGTCAGGTCAGTCTCCACTCTCTGTTCTAGTAGTAAAGTTAAATTTGTGAGTTATACACTAGTAATTTTGATTGGCGGGGATCGTTGGTGGAGTGTCGATCCGTGTCTGGATGTAGAGTTTATTCAATAGTTTAAAGGCCAGCGCTTGTAGGCTGTTGTGAATCTTGTGTCATATCAACATAATGGGGAAGCCATTTTGTTGGCGGCATTTTAGCGTACATGACTTATACATGAATTAAATGTATATATATATTACAGCGTTTGTGAGATGTTAGCTGTCGCTGTGTAGGCTTAACTAAAGGCTGCCATTAATTCATTTTGCTGTTGCATATATTATTTGACACACAATGTGTCTGGTACACCATCAGTGTACCTGTGGCTGTTTGTTGTAATAGATTTACCTGAAAATGCTCGCTGTACATGACTCATACTGTACAAGATTTAATTTATATGATGTCGGAGAAAATGTTGTGATGTATGTGTGTAAGCTAGTGACAGTGTGAAATATTGGAAACAAAAAGAGTAGCTGAACTATCTTCACTATGTTTGTTTTAACATTTGCAATTTGCTGCTTGCTTGTTGTAATATATCATAAATAGCCTAAAAGATCAAACTGGTACCTGTATAGTGAATTCTGTCTAGATTATAAACCACAAGGATCATTACTTCTGTTCGAAATAGCTTAGCATCATGTGTTGCTATTACTCAGGTTTAGTGATGTAGCAGAAAGTTCTGGATAATACAGTTTTCTAGATATATTGTGTTTTTGTCGAGCTGAAGCTGTAAAGCAATAAAGAAATGAAGCATTTATTTCACTTACAATGACTAGAATATACAACTTTCACAAGGACTACCTCATTTTACTGTAAATGCAAAGTCATCACAGAAATTTGTAGAAATTTTTATATAAATACTACATATAGAGTATCTGAAAATCTAGTCCAAACAATAGATTATTTATACATTGCTATTGCTACCTTTTTCAATGTGGTTTTTATGAGATTTTCTTTTTATTTGGTTTTTATGAGATTTTCTTTTTTCTTTGTGGGCATAATTAAATATGGTAATGATTGTGAAATTTCGGTTGAAATTTTTGTTCACAAAATTGAAATTAGAAAGCCACAAGAACTCAGTTGTACTACATTATTGTATATAACATGAAGTCTAACACAAACTGTCATTTCCTATAACTTGTCTTTGCAGTATTAGTATGAGAACTGCTGACTCGTCCCTGGGAACATCCTCAGACCAGTCACTAGGAGAGAGCCTGGTGGATTCTCAGACTATATCTGTGGAACAGGGTTCCACGACCACAGACAGTGGATCCACAGAGCCCAACAGTGAATTTGAAGATTTTATAGATCTAAGTGTTACCAATAAAAACTTTGAAGTGAAGGCCCAGCAGTCGCTGTTCGCCCACCAGACGACGGATGACTTGCTGAACCTCAACACGAACAGTATTGACAATAACCTGGACAACATCAGCTCCGACTCCCATCCTAAGCCTATAATTGCCTTTGAAGACAATGCAGCCCGGCGACAGGAAGTCACAGGTAAAGATGTCCTTAGTCACTGGTGAGAGGTCGTCATAGGTTAGACTATCAGGGGTCATAGGTTATAAGTCATAGGTTAGACAATCAGGGGTCATAGGTTATAAGTCGTAGGTTAGACAATCAGCTGTCATTGATCAAAGGTCAGACTACCAGAGATCATTGGTGATCAGTCAAAGAATTGACTATAAGGTGCCATTGAGTGGTTAAAGTTTCAGACTGTCAGGGGTCATTAGTGAAAGATCATAGGTTTGACTTCTATTAACAGATTTATCTATTTAACAAAAAATATGATATAAGTGTTTTCAACATATATTTATCACTCTTATTGGCCCGGATGTTAGCGAAAGGGAGGTCTTAATGTGGGAGGAAACTGGAGTTCCCAGAGAGAACCCATGTGGTCGAGCAGGTGCCCCCCAATCTTTTCAGGTCATTAGTGAGAGGTCAAAGGGTAGGCTATCCAGTTATATGTTAGAGGCTGTAGGTTAGACTTTCGTGTTACTGATGGGATTCATAATAACAGAATCTTTGTAGATTTGTAAGTTATTTGCTAGTTGAAACCCTCCTCACCCACAGACACAGTGAAAGTTTGTAAGGTTGTGCATTGATTACCCATCAAACAGGTAAAGCTAAAACACTTA